CTGTTTTGACATTTACCCTTTTTTATCTGTCTGTCCATATATCTATCCATCCATCCGCCACCCTGGCCTGGGTGCTGCTCGCTGGCTCTGGCGCCGGTGAATCAAAAACCTGCAGCAGTCTGTTAAAGGAGGATGTGTGTTGGCTCGGCCAGGGTTTCTCCTTTGTGCGTTCAATGTACTGATGTATCATGCACCTGTTTATTTTTTTAACATTTTGTTTTGTTTTTGACAGGAAAGAGGAAGAGCTGGATTCGAAAGATGCTATCATACTGCATCAGTTTTCGAGGCCTACCAACGGTGTTCCAAGTTTATCCCCTTTCTGTCTGAAAATGGAAACTTACTTAAGGATGGCTGATCTACCCTACCAGGTACATCTGTGCAGTTTTCCTTTATGTTGCAGTTTGCTATGATGTCGTGAAATGCCAAACAGGCGTCCCCTGCCCACCCCACCGCTCCCAGTCTGTCTCACCCAGGGAGATGTAAACACGCACGTACAATGGGGTGGGTAGGCCGGTGCTTTTTTGTTAAATTAGTTAAATTTGGTGTCTAACATTTAAAGATATGAATTGAGTAAGATCAGTCTGGAACAGCTCTAGATTTAACTGGCAAAGCTAAATGAATGTTAGAAGTTAACTTGGCTGGAAATGCTGAAGTGTGGGAGTAGTCTGGAGTTTATATAATGCTAAATAACACCCCAAAACTAAAGTGTAACATTATTTGGTCTTTGAATTTCACCATGCTGAAGAGTCAAGATTAGACAGGTGCAGCTTCTTTTTTTCCTGAAAGCCTTCTCTCTCCATCTCTCCTGGGAAGACATGCTTGCCTTTTGCTTCACCTCCCATTGTGGGTGCTTCCCCTTCAGTGAAGGAAGACAGGTTGCTTTTAGAGGTCGTGAATACTGCTCCTTAATTGTGGCTGGATGCATCCTGTGCCATCTTCTCGCAGGGGATGAAGCCTGAGCTAGTCTGGTGAATGAAAGGAGGGAGAGCAGAAATTTGAATCTAGCAGTCTTGCCTGTTAGTGTCGAGGTTTAGTTGTGATGCTCTGAGTCTGGCGCGCGCTTTGTTGCGGTGTCGGCGAGGTGTGCAGCGTGCAAGCTCTTTGAAACATGGGATGGGTTTCTTTTCTGTTTATGTAAAGCATTGAGTGCATGCAAGATGATACAACAGTAGTGATAAATATAATGGAGATCTTGGTTAGAAGAAACATCTCTCTCTCTTCCCCCCCCCCCCCAAATTATATAAATTTGACACCTAGCTTTGTCTCAGAGACTTGAGCTGTGGGTAAGTAACATGCTCACCCCACGTGGGTTCACGTTGCTTACTGCTACATTCCAAGGTGTTAGGAAGAATGTTTCATTTATATCCAGTGTTTTAAAAAGGAAAAACAACAATATTACAATTTTTTTTACACATTTGTGGTTGATATTCTTTCAGCTTTGTATGTGATTAAAACTCCTTTACATTGGAAGTGAAAGAAAACCTAATTAGTACATTTTGCTTAAGTCCTTAAAAGCCTGAGTTTAATCTTATGATTTGATGGTACTTGAATCAGATACTTAAGAGAGTTAAAGAGGGAGTTTTTCATCCCTTGGGATGTATTTTCCTCATTTAGGTTTACAGAACCTGCAAGATACTGAAGTTCGAACCTGTCATTGGAGCAGCAGGACTTTGTGCACACTGCTTCTCCACCCAGAGTAATTTGGGTAGAAATTTTATGTGTGAAGGGAAAACCATTTTGGTGAGACCTGTTGTCTTTCTAATGGCAGTTGATGCGTCTCAGAGGTTTGCAGTGATCAAAGTTGCTCTGGTGGAGAGTAGTTAAAGCTGCAATATAAAAGATGGTTGTGACAGGATGCGGTCAATTCTAAAAGATAGCGCTGTGTGTTTGTGATTCAGGATGGAGTTGTTTAGATGCTTGGTAGAAGTGAGTCACCCAGCTTTTCAGAGAGAGAGGGATTTCTAGAGGGTCATACTCCCCTCTTTATTTTCTGTACTGAAAGTCAGCATTGCTCTTTGGTATTTTATCTCTCTCTATTCCTACTGTGAGCACACTGAGCTGATGTAGGTCAGCAGGACCACCAGAAGCAACAGTCCTACCTGCAGCGGCTCCCCCTTGTTCCTTCTTGCACATGCTTTTCTGTGCCGGATCAGGCTGGGACGGGCCTGGCCTAGCTGCAGCCATGAAGGTTTAGTTTATTTGTTTTTAACCTGCCTTGGTTCCCCACACGCTCCACGTGCCATGCTGCAGGAGCAGGAAGGGGTCCCACGGGTGCTGGGGACACCAGGTTGCTGCTTTTAGCTGTGCCAGCTTATACGGGCTTGAGGTCTTTGTGGGGTTACTGACCCTATGTTTTAAAGGTGGGTTTGGTGGAGCTAAGCTTATGAACTGAGGATGCAGCTTTTTTTTCCAGAAGAGTCAGATTCTCTTTCTGTCTTTGTGTTAGGGGTATGGTGCTGCTTTCAGATCCACTGGGCAGAGGAAGGTACGGATGCTGCTGAGGGATTAAGTGGGAGGGGAGCCAGCAGGCAGTGCCATTGTCAGATGGAGTTGTGAAGTTTCCTATACTCGGACTACCTGGAGAATTTTATTTTGTTCTCTTGTGGCTGTGTTACCTGTAGGATGCTGTAGGTGACAGAGACATCCGATGGCCACCTCCCCAATGGCAGCGGAGTGGGTGTGTAGGGAGGGCACGGCCTGATGCAGGGGGAAACACCTTCCCTGGGGAGGGGATGCTCTGAAGGGAGGGTTGTGAAATGGGGTAAAGAAAAGGCAGTGGGGTGGTCAGACTGCTTTTACTCTTTTGATTCCTTGTGTTTATGCTTTGTTATAGTGTGGAAGACTATTGAGTAACGTGCTGTGTGTTACACATGCTTTAATGGCATGTGAGAAGTGGAACTGGGTGACATACACCTACCTTACTCTCATCTGAATTTCCCCCAGTAGATGCGCTCTTGTAATGTGCTTACGTTTTCTTGAAGCTGCCTTTCTAGGTGCAAGTTCTCCATCAAAAATAATTTGGGCAGTCCCACCCTGTCTGGGCTGTCAGTATCTAGCTCTTTTAAAAATGTTTGATGCTTTTCTTGGTAAAGCTTGCTTTGAAAGAGCTCATTCTGAGTGCCTGTGAAGATCTTTTGGGTGTTCCTTGACTCCCTCACAAATATGAAGAGCTGAGCATTTATGTAATCCGATAAATTAGCACAGCAGAAACGTGCTGTTTTCGTGCCAGGTCTGTGAAGATCGTAGCCTCCTTGGGAAGAGACATGAGTAAAAGTAAAAGCATAAGCAGCAGTAACTGAAAATGTGGAACTGAATTTCTTCTGGATAGTACTATAAAATTACCCCGGAAGTGCTCTATGCCATTCTGTTTATAAGTTCCTCTGTAAATGAAGTTCTGGGGAGCTCCTGTTGTTACTTTACAATGCTGCATTTAAGTTAAATGTACTATGAGTTATGAGGGGATATTTTGTTTCGTTGTTATGGGCTTTTTTTAAGGATAATACCATAGCTTTTCCCTGCTGGAAACAATTTGCAGGGAAACAATTTTTAAGTGGACAACTGATAAATATTTCATGGCAATTAGTAGCAGCCATGAAAATACTGAGGTTTCAAGCCTAAAAATACCTATTTGAGAACAGTGGATACAAGAACAATATAATAGATTCGTCAAGAGACTAAGGTTTTCTAAGGTCATTGAAAGATGTTTCCTATTTTGTTTGAGAAACTGTATGTAATGAAAGATGAAAATCCTGAGAAGGCTTTTTAAAGTTTCGGTAAACCAACTTTGCTGTAAGAACCTTAGCTCTCATTTGTGGTTTTGAGAATGGGATATTAATGCAGTACTAACAAGTTTTTATGCAATGTGCTTTTCTATATTATATATATGTGCTTGAAGAAATGTGCAGTTGAGTAATAAGAACTCGTTTCTTTTCTGGGTTGGAAATGAAGTGGACTATAGTGATTGCAATATGTAATAAACACATCTTCAAGTCTAGTAGCTTCTGTAAAGCGTGTTTGTGCACAAGAAGGGAAATCTCAAAGGGTTTAACAAAGAGTAAGCCAGCAATGCTCAGTGCCATATAGACACACTGTGTAGTTCCAGGATAAGCTTATGATTCTATAGTGAATTTGTAATGAAAAATTATGGAAACCTATTAGTCAGTCTGAGTGCTGAAAGAGCCTTTTTGCTGAAGGAAAGCGCGGAAGGTGGAAGGACAGGCCAGTGCTCTCCTTTCAGTTTCAGGTGTTCAGCAGTTTTAGAGTTTCTCCCGTGGACCAGAGTAAAAACCTCCATGTCACCCACATGTGTAAGCAGGGTTGATTCAGTTGCTTTATTCGCCCATGCAGGGGTGCAGTAGATGAGACATTATATAATCCAGTGTTCCTACCGTGCTATTTGTTTGGGCAGAAATCCCAGAAAAGGCTACTAGCCAGAAGGCATTGTTTTCCCAGCAGCGTTACTCGTGTCATCTGTTTTCATCCACAAGGGAAGAGCCTCTGGGAATGGCCACAAGTTCGTAGTGCATTGCACATCCGCGTTTTGAGCAGTAGCCAGGATGCTGTGCTCTCAGACTGAGCTGGAGGCGTGTTGCGGTGTGTGCTCCTTGCTGCGAGAGGACCTTAATCCATCTTTAGTGGATTCAGGAAGGGTAAATACTTGAGACCCAAACAGGTCAGTCCAGAACTGCTAACCCTGAACCTCCAGCAATTAGGAGATAGATCATGAAATGCTTAGAGTTGAGTACCAAAGACTGAGTGCAGAGCCTTTATTGTGAGCCTTTATGGTTCGACTTTCTGAGCTAGGATTTTCATTCATTAAATAACAGGATGTGAGCATGGGAATCATAAGAAAGGAAGAAAGTTCTGCCTCATGTCTCTGCCTTCAGAAGTAAGAGAAAATTGAAGTCAAATGTCTGATCATGTTTTGAAAGCCAGCAATTCCTCTCGTGTTTGTCAGAGGAGGCATAAATTCTCTAATCTCTGTGTTTCACCTTCTCCAGCTGTAAAATGTGGAAAATACATTGCTACTTCTGTGTGAGTGCTACGCTGAGCAGGTAACACCAGTATTCACAATGCACTGCGGCTGGGCTCTTGGAGACCCAGTTGTAACAAGCGTGTCTGTAAATGTATGAGATTTCCGAGTTATGAAGTTGCAGAAGCATATGTAAAGGCAGATCTCCCTCCTGCCCACTGAAGGAATGATATGCCTTTCATTACATGTGTTTTATCCTTGGAGGTAATGCAGCTGTCTGAGATAGGTAGTGAATTAATCTTGATAAAATATGTTTAACGTGAAAAGTACTGCTCTGTGCAAGAGCCAAATTTAGGTGTCAGTCTGGTCATTAAAAACTTGTTTTGAATAACAAACCAAATCTTCCGGGAGACCTGAGCATCTCCAACCCCTTAAACAACCTGGGCACTTAAATAATATTACATTAGGTGGCATCTGACATAAAAGTGTGTAATGCCTTGCAGGACCTGGAAATAAATCTGAATTGTCATATAGGGTAAAGCTGTTGCTCTGATCGAACAGGTACCGCTAGTCTGGAGTATTAGTTAAAAAAAAAAGTTTGTTGGATAATGTTGCCTTTAAAAACACACAATATTTTAAAAGCTTTATTCTCATTGAAACAAAACCTGAAGGGCCTTTTTTGTCTGTTTGTTTACTTGGTTGTTTTTTGTTTTTTTTTTCCTTAGAACTATTTTGATGGAAAACTTTCCCCTCAAGGGAAAATGCCTTGGATTGAATACAATCACACGAAAGTATCTGGCACTGAGTTCATTATTGACTTTTTGGAAGAGAAACTTGGAGTGAATTTAAATAAACACCTTGGTCCACATGAAAGAGCTGTTTCTAGGGCTGTGACAAAAATGGTGGAGGAGCACTTGTACTGGTAAGCTTGCATGGCAAAGCTGTGTTCTTGTGCTGTCAGATCTGACCCTCCACTCGTGCCTGGATGTGAATGCTTATTTTCTCTTGCTGAAAGCTTGGGTGCCCAATGACTGATTTCATGACACTCTTCACCCTAGAAAACTGCTGCTTCTTTCTGTGTATGCTAGTATGAGCAGGGGGAAATTCCCCTGAAAAGTTGTTATGCTGTGTAAGCAAGGTAAGGAGTCAGGCCCATCGCATCGAGCTTTACAGAGGGGAGCAGTGGTGGGCTGTTCCTCTGTCCTGTTTCATGTGACCTCCGTGTAGGAACAGCGTTGTTAATAAAGAGCGAAAAATCAAGATGTCTGAATACATTTATGGGTTAGGAGGCGCAGGGGAACAAATTCAGCATTTGTAGTGAATCTGGAATATTGTGTTCTTACAATTATTGATTTTAAGTATCTGTGTGTGCAATTACAGTATGGATTATTGCCTTTCCTATAACGCAGGATACTCATGTTAATGTGTATTGTTGACAGCACTGGCGGTTGATAGGATAAAGTGTTAATCACAGTGTCCTGAGCAGCTGAAGTATATATATGAATGGAAAACATAAATATAACCTTGCTGGTACTTTATGCATTTTACTGATTTCTTTGAAAATAATACCTGTGATTTCCCTCACACTTTAAATTTCAGTCCTTTTTAAGTGCCCTTTCCAGTCCAGATTTGTAGAAGTAGCAGGTGGACATGGCATCTTGGATGATGCATTGGCTGCCTCAGCAGGCACAAGGCTTTTTCCTAACGGTTTCCTTTCTAGCATGTGTTTAAGTCCTTGTTGTGGTGTCTTGCATTTGTGTTGTACTTTTTTTCCTTCAAAACAATGTATGATTTAAACTGGATGCATTTACCTGCTTTTTCTTTTACCTTGTGATCGAAGATGAGCAGCAACATGGGTACACATAGTTCTTAAAAAATTATTCAGTTTTTCCTGGGAATAATGTTGCCATTCAGTAGGCAGATTTAAATGATACGGTTTAGAAATGTAATCCCTGCCTTCCAAGAAGTGTGACCACTAATTATACCCATTGGCAGTGCCATAGCCTCAAAAATCTGATTCAAGTAGCCTGCAAATGTAACTTTTTTTTTGTTTTTTGGCTCATTTCCCCCCCCTCAGTTATTATACCTGCCAAAGGGAAGATGAGGCCTTTTAATCCCCTAATGCTCCATCTCCTTGCCTTAGTGTCGATTGTTTTGCGGTCCATAGACTTAACTGCTTTAAATGTAACATTACTGGATGACAAGTGTATACCACTGTTGTGTCTCAATTACAAATCGTGCTCTCCTCTCTGAAGCTGTTGTCTGTCCATCCAGGCTCCCTCTGAGCTGACTTAGCACTGCTGGGCATGACATAGGGGAGCATGGGGGACAAGTATTCAGGTGCTGACCGGAGGGGGTGGCACTGAAAAGTGCGGACAAAGCTAGCCCAAGTAAGAACAGAGATGTACATGCCTGGCTGTATATCCCTGTTGCCTTTTCCTGTTTAGTCACACAGTTGAGTTTCCCTAAGGCATGCATTTTTTGGTGCAGTGTAGTAAAAGAATCCAGCTGTAAGTCTTATTGTGTGTCCCTGCTGTGTGGCGGTACCAGAGGCTTGCTCCTTTGGTGAGGTTACACCATGCCGATTCTCGGAGCTAGGCAAAGCCTGAGCTATGAGGCATTGCAGGTGTACCACTGTAATTCCTGCATAACAACTTTGACCATCGTGTAGTTACACCAAGATAAAACCAGCCTTTAGCTGTGTAGGACCGTGTTTCTCCCTGACAGCACTGCGTCTGTGGTTGTGGGATCACATCGGTCCTTGAACCTGACCACCTCCCACCAGGGGCTTAATGTTTGTTCATGGTGTCCTCAAGTCCCACGGTAAGGAATTTTTAATGGTGATAGCCTTTCTGCAGAATAACATTTATAAAATCGAGCCTCCAAAGCAATGACATAAAATGTGATTCATACTGTTTCATTGCCAGCAGCATGCAAAGTAGTTTCATCATAAATAAGTGATACTGTAGTGCATTTAAAAGAAGCAAAGTACATCCTGTGGTGTGCTGTCTCTGGATGGAGCTAATCCTGGTGGGTGCGCAGCATCTCCTGAAACATTTAGCTTTTGCTAAGGTAATTGATCATCTTCACCAATTAGTGCCTCTTACAGGTGGAAATTGCTGCTCTTGCTGGAGTGGAGAGCAGTGCAGGGCCATTGTGAACCTTGGCCTCTAGACACCCTGCCTCCGCCCCAGGCTGCTGTACCTGTCGGTTCAGGCAGAAAGACAGCAAGTGAGTGAGAGTACCTATTTTTGTGCTGGGATTAGAGCATGTTTCCAGGATGCACAAGACTGATTTGGAGCTGGCACTGGAACTCCTGTCCCTGGAGAATGCCATAACTATCAGTTTTTTGCTATGTTTAAATCAGCAAAAGAAAAAAAGCCTGCTAATCTGAATGGGTATTGGGCCGAGTCAGGGAAGAGGAGGTGGAAGTGGACCGATTTTGTGGCTCTTGCTCCAGGTCCTGGATCCAGTGCCGAGCTCTGTCCTCTGCTAAAGGCTTGGCTGGGGTCACCTCCACTGCCTGTGGTGACCCATGGGCCCTCAGGAACCAGTGGGGCACCCACAGCTATCTTCAAGATGCGTTGAGTTTTTAGTGTATCTGCAGCACGTTCCTGGCATTGGACCTTTGTGTAAGACAGGCTGGAGGATGTCAGATTCTCGCATCCTTCTGGCACTGGCATGGTGGGCTTGGCGGCACATCCAGCATTCAAACCAGGCAGCTCCTGGTTCCTGGAGGGCTAGCAGTCACTGCAATGTGCTTTCTGGCACTTTAATCTCAGGAGGGGGATCTCATTTCGGTGACACTAATTTGCTTAGTGAGAACCTAAAGCCTTGAGTATGCAGCTTAACCAAACTAGCCCATTAGGTTGCTTTAGCTGTATTCTCAAACACAACTGTAGTGATTTATAAGTGTGTGTGTATATATATACACATACATACATATTTAAATAATTTCTTGCTTTCTCGTTCAAGAAGGCTCTGTAAACATCAGATATGTGATGCGTGCTTGAAGTACAGGAAAAGCATGGTATGAGAATACAAATGAATCCGACTTTGTTGGGTTTTCAGACTTGCCATGTATTAAACATAAAATATGTTTATAAATATGTTTAAGTACATCAAGCCAATTCTAAGAGCGACGTCTCTCCTGCTATTAACAGTGATGAAGTCTGCATGCCAGTGGCAGTTTAAAAGCCAGTTGCTCTGGGACGGTGCACAGTGGGTGGGGTTTCTACAGCTGATTCTGGAATGAATTTGTTATAATCCCTTGTATATCAAGAAATTCCACCCTGTACAGGTTCAGATAGGAAAAATAACTCCCAGTTCACATCCTTGTGAACACTTCCCCCATGGTTTGATGTTCAGACGGTTTGGGGATAATCAGGCAAGCTGCTGCTGATGAGTCACTTTCTTCATCTCCTCTCCTGATTTATGTATTGAGGCCAAAGCTGCTGTTTTGTTTAGACTTCAGATTTGCTTCACCCCTGCAGCATTGCTCTTTAATGCGTTATTGTTTTATTTATACTCTAAGATTTGTACAGATGTGCTGGCACAAATGGGAATGTTAATGTTTCCCAAAATGCTCAGTTTAGGCCAATATTTAAAATAATTATGTCATCCTATAAATACTAACTGTAGTTTGAAATGTATAATTATGCTGAAGTAGGTTATGTAGACTTTCTGGCATTTCCTAACCTTTTGTAATGTTGATATTACTCTAGTAATGTAGTCTGAGCAGAGGGATGTTGGTTGGGATTAGATGCAGAGGAGCATGTTTTGGTCGGAAGCACAGATTAATGAACCTTTGAATAGAATTTTTTTAACACAATGCTTGTAAAGCCAGTTTTAAAAGTGCTTTTAACTGTCTCTCTGAATCTGAGCCTGCTTTTTTCTTTGCTTTTGCTTGCTCAGGACCATAACATTTTAGAAGGAAACTCTGTGGTTGTCCATTTAGCTGCCCTCATTGCCCATGTAAATTTGAGATTTGAGACATGTGACAACTTCAGTCATTCAAAGTGACAAGCAGATGTTTTAAGATTGTTCTTGCTGGCTTAGCCTAAGCAGGATTACTAATGTCCTGTGCAGTTCTGCTCTTCCTGCATTGCTGTCCTGATTGTTAAATACTTGATCTGATCTCTGCCTCTTCCAGACCCAAAGACCTTCATCTCCAGAGCATGCGAGTGCTAGGGAAATGTATTTTTGCTTTAAAGTGTGGGCTAATTAGCTTTGTGGGAAACCTTGTTCATCCTGTCTCATGAAATTAAAGCCATCCTGGATGTAGTTGATCATTCTTGGTGAGGTGCCAGTTCGCTGGTGTCGCTGGAGTGAACCATAGTGATGGCAAGCCCATAGGGCTGTTAGTCTTGTGTAACTGGGGTAACTTTTAGAAAATGCTGCAGCAGAGTCTCTCTTCTTTTTCTGTTTTGTTTCAGTTTCTTTTTCTTGTTGTCCCTCTCCGTGGCCAGGTCTGTTGTCCTAAAGCAACTAAGTTGTGTTGCACCATTGCCGGGTGAAGCTGGTCAGTCCCGTGCTGGGGAAGGGTGGTCTTTGCAAGCAAGACATGCAGCAGTGCTCACAGAGAGCAGGTTTTTCTTAACCATATTCAAGTAATAAATAATAACTTACAAATATAGATCGTATTTGTAATTATTTCACAGAGTTTGCATCAAGACCAAGTTTTTCTTCCCCAAGGGAAGCTCAAGGGATGTTGTCCTTTCCCAGGCCTGTGAAACACAACTACTGAAATGTTCTGCTCTGTGGAGCACCCTTATGCTTTCAGCCCAGTCTTCTTTCCATCCTTCTTAAATCCTGTTTTACCTTTGTTCCTGGTGCAAGGCAGTCCTGCTCTTCTAGCCAAAGTTGCCACTTCCGGAGTTTCAGTAGCTGTTTACTCCTGTGCTTGCTGGCTTCATGTTCCCCTTTTGTGCTGGTGCCTGTTGCTAAATCTGGCTTTGTTTCAAACTCCACTGTGCTGAAACCAGCCCAATGACTTGAGTTGATCCATCCATTTTGAAAAACAAGGATTGTGCAGAACACCCCCATTCGAAGAGTGATACTGAAGCGTGTGAAACATCAGCGGGATGCTTTTGTCGTATTGATACAGTGCAAGAGGTTGTGGAGAAACCTCTTGAGGACAAAAGCCATCGGAAACATAGCAGGCGCATTTTTGTTCTTCACTGTTCGTGCATTTATAGCAAAACCTACACATGCCTCACTGTTACAGACTTTAATGAAATCAATTTGAGCAGAAAGCATTGTCCTGCAGTGGACAATTTTTAAATGCCTTCCGCTTGCTCTGTTGGGAGCATTCTAAATTTGACTGTGAGTGTATTTTTTTTTTCTTTGGCTGTTATGCCAAATATTCTCCTTTTTCCTTATGTTATTAGTAATTCAAGTAAAGAATCTGTGGAAACTTAAAGATTAGAACATTTCATGGTGTAAACATAGTTGTTCCTTGATGGTACTGCTGAATTCAACTTCTGTTCGTGACATAAACATGCATTTAAAAAAAAATTCACAGGAGTTTTCCAGGAAATACTGTTTTATTGTCTTTTCCTTTCTTAAATTAGGTGATCCATATCAGCACTAAGGAAATTATGTGCAATTAGAAATATGTACAATGATGAAACTAAAAAAGTTGAACTCTGATCGTATTGGAAACACTTGATCATTAAGTTAACATTTACTTATGTGAACTTGCAGCTTTTGATATTTCAACTTTTTGATCTAGCTTCCCTAGTTTATCATGTCTCCATGAGCCTGTTTTCATATGATCTCAAATTTGTAAATCCACTTTTAGATTTTTCAGCTTGGAAGTTGCTACGAGCATAATGGAATGGGGGTATCAAACCCCAGTGTTTCTGAGACACTGTTGGCGTCTTATGTTTGTCATGTCTACCTTGAGATGTCTTTAGCCCTTTTTCCGACATCCCTTGAACTCGGTGGAAAAAGTCATGTGGTCTTTTGGGTTTCTTCATAATGTCAGAAGATGCCAGATAGTAAAAAAGTTAATGTTTCTTTTTTTCATAAGTTTCTTGAGTAGCAACAGCAAGAGATCTATTTTTTGTTAGACTACAATAGTAATAAAGAACAAAAAGCTGGTAAGACAAATTTTTATAAAAGGACCTTTCAAAATAATAATATATTAGCCATTCAATAAAGCTGAAATACAGCCCAAAATACAACAGAGTCATTTAGAAATATCTCTCTCATAAAATCAACATTTTGAAGAGAGGAAAAAGTACAGGAGAAAACTAACACAATAGCCACCACCCCTTCCTTTTTTAAATTTTATTTTTAAAAGATTGTGTAATTGTTAGTTTCTGAGGAGAGCAGAGATCTTCTGAAAAATGACTGCTACAATATTTATGTTGGGGCAGAGTTACTGGTTGGCTAAGTTTCAGCAGTATAGAAAGGAAGGAGAACAGGTTGGTGGGAAAGGTTGGTTTCTTTATGGACTGTGTTGTTGTTTTCCCCAGGTCTGTGCAGTTGATCATCTTTAGCTAATAAATCCTTTTGGCACTGCATTTTGTTATGCAACTTTAGCAGAATTCTTCAGCTTTTGTTTTATATTTCAGTGTGAATCTCATTTTCTCTTGAAGTGAGTAGTGATTTATTGAGAGAATAAGCACTGGGAAGTCTGCATAAGTATTGCAAAGTCAGTTTTCTCTGCTGTCACTCTGCGTTGCATCAGGGTCTGCTCTTTATTGGAAACTACCTCTCCATCAGGGCAGTGAGCGCTCGGCTTTAAGAAAGCTCGCTGCCTAACCTTTGTGTAAACCTTTGCAGGGTAGTGATGGGCTGTCTGGGTATTGCACTGCTATAACTTATTTTCACATCTTTCTAGGACTTTAGCTTATTGCCAATGGGTGGAAAATCTTCATGAGACGCAAAAGATGGTTTCACTTTTTGGCCCTTTCAGCGACTTGCTGAAGTGGATCCTCTGCCATCTGACCAAAGGGATCGTGAAGCGGGAAATGTACGGCCATGGCATTGGTCGCTTCTCAGAGGAGGAGATGTACACGCTGATGGAGAAGGACATGCGGACTCTAGCAGGCCTCCTGGGTAATGTGCAGCGAGTTACGCGCGTTCTGTTTGTTCACAGCTTGCTGTCCACAGGATGAAATTGACTGCAGGTGCTTCCTGGCAGCTTGGTCACACACACAAATAATCTCATTTTGTCAGTAGGTAGAGTCCGCACTGCTGCTGTCATTCAGTGCCACCCTCGCTCTGGCAGGGATAGTGTTTCTTTCCCCGCTGTTTGCTACTGAATTGTGTCTCTAGCTTTCTTCTCTGAGCACTAGGTAGGTGTATATAGATGAGCAGAATGTGGCCTGAACATCATTTTGCTGTGTGAATTTAGGAGAATGTTGCGCTTAGTTCTGCAAATGAAACCTTGTATTTATATTTTGGAGGGTCTCATTTTTTCTTCATGGGACTCACAGCTGTTTGATAGATCGTTATGAGGCTGCCATTTGAAAACCCTTTGCAGATGTTATTTTGATGAGCTGCACTTTGTTGTATTTGGTTGGTGTTAACAGCTTTATTCAAAGCTGCTAGTAGGAGATGGATCTGTGTTGTCAAAAAGAGATAACAATATTGGGCTTCTGTGTAAAATTTGCATTTTGAGGAATTGGTTTGAGGCAGATTGTGACTTCCTGTGACTGTAGAGTTTTCTGTAACTTTGTTTTCTGAAACAAACCTGCTGAATTGCTGGACTGGGAGCAAGGTGGAATAAAGACACGTGATGCCTGCGTGCAATGGGCACAGGGAAGATTTATTGACAGCTCCTTTTGTGTCAGCACTTTCTCATGCTGTATTTTGTTTGTTGACAGAAAAAGTTACCTGTTCTAGTGCCTCTTCAAGGAAAACCTGGTTTTGGAGCTTAAGAGGTCCCTTTTCTTTTTGGGGGAGGAAGGGAGGGAGCAGCTCATTTTAGAAGAAGAGGTCTGGGCACATCTGCTGCAGAGCTGAGGCCAGCTCAAGGTGCCCTCAACTGTGGGATTAGTGTTCCTGTAGCTTGAGGTTGGCACCATGTGGCTCCGTGTATGTCGCAGAGAGGAATGGGGTTGGGACAGAAGCTGGAGCAAGTTCAACCTATGACTTGGGAGCTCAAGCAGAGCCTTCTGGTTCTGGCTGGACAACGCTGACAGGCTGAATGGAGCATCAGTGGACGTGTCTGTGCTAAAGTAATTCCTGTCTGCCAAGAGTAGATGTAGCCTTCAAGAGAAAAAGGAAACAACTTCCTTGGTACCTGTGGAAGTCTCCTGGTTTGCTTATTTGAAGTCTGCATCCTTCTGTCTCTGGAGCCTATACTGACACTCAGATTTGTAGAATTTTGAGTTCAAAGGGATCATTAAAGCATCTAGACTCGTCTTTATGAATCAGACTGCTTGGTTGCTGTCTTGAGGCCTGTGTCTTTTTTCTGGCTGAAGCATGTCTTTCTAAAAGGCATCCAGTTTTAATTATGAGATTTCAGCGGGTGGAGGTGCCACCACTTTTGTTAGTAATTGGGGGCAGATGTTAATCACCATCAAAATCTGCTCAAAACCTGACCTGTTTCAAACTGGAGTTCGTGCGATTCCAGCCTGCAGGCAGATGCTCCTTCTAGTTCTTCCTCCCTCCCTGGGTGACCTGGGTGATCTCCTTGTGAACGTAAATGCTGTAATCAAACAGTCTCTTACTTTTGTTTTTTGGTGGGAAAAATCACTGGAAATCCTAAAGGATAAGGTGTTTTCTTCACTGTATCAATTTTTTTTAATTGTGTGATACATATGTTATCAGCAGGGGTTTTATTTTTACTTCCAGATTACTGATGAGAATGTTGTGCCTTGTGTACTTGATGGGCATTGGCTTTATTGCTATTATTTTACTACATTAGCAGCTGAATATTATTCAGTTTTACATCTTCCCCTCTGAAATGGATGTTAGATTAGTCAGTGTGCAGTAACGTGAATCATTATGTTTGCTCTTTTGATTATTGGTCTTGTTTTCTGTAATTGTATTGATTTTTCGTCAACACTAGCGTTCTCAAGTTTTCTCCAGCCAGTTCTTTATGGTTGGGTGTAGAAACTTTGACCTCTGGGTAGCAGTATCCTGGGATGGCGACAGGAGGTGCAATAAGGACTTCTTGCCTGGCTGGAGGCTCTCCTGTTTGACAGAGGGAAGGAAAAGGCGGTCAGCCAGACTACTGAGTGCACAGAAATCTTTGTGAGATTCCCCTCCGCGTATATGTGCCTATGTGTTTTCCCAGAAGAGGAAGCAGTTGGGATTTTGGCTGTTAATTAGAGGGCAATCTTAAGAGCTTGAAAAGGATGCCTGTCATGCAGAACAGCTGCATATACCAAACTGTAGCTGTCAGCCATCAGGCATATAAGATTAATTTAATGTTCCCCATTTTTTAAGAGACCATTCACATGGGAACAAGAATAATTTTTAAATTCCAAGTGCTGCTTCCAGAGAATGACAACTTGGCAGCTGCTGGGTCTTGTGACACTCATTTTGACATTCCCAGTCACATCCTGGGTGCTTTTTTACTTATTTTCATTTCTGAAAATATTTTTTTTCTTCTCCCATGTGCCTATTTCCCTAACAGACTCCTCAAGATCTCTTATAAACATGGAGATTGGAACTAATCCTCCTGTGGTGGATTAGCCTGCCTTTTTGGTATCATCTTGCTCTCTGTCCTGCAGTCTTTAAACCACAAATGTAATTTCCTTGAGTTATAGTAGTTTCCTACTCCTGGTAGTAGTGTGGAGGGGAACTGGGCATATGAACTGGCAATATATAAAAATAGATATTTTGGTAATTATTTAAAAGATGCGAATGAGTGAGCAGTGCCCATAAATCTCTCGGTACCCTCTCAGCTGTCTGCCTGTCTCAGGCTTTTGGCTAAATGGGGATTTTGAGCAGGGAATTGCAGGGCAGCATCTGCCCGAACCAGCTTTTGAAAAGCATTTGGTATTTTGTGGAGGGCAGGAGGGCTCAGAGCTGAAACAGAGAGGTGAGACTAACCTGAACGCAAGCCTCTAATGCTGGTTGAAATGCCTTGCAGCAGCCTGTGTGGGGTGTGCGTGCTGATGTGGAAGGATGCAGGTCTTCTGCCAGCCCTGCGTCTCATAGATCTGTCTGTTGCCGTGGTTTCTTGACCCAGTGCTGAAGTAGCTGCTTTTGAATCCTCTGGTGCACACATTCATAAATAGTGGAGCTGTGTGCTGTCAAGTCCCTGGGCTGTACAAGTTTGATCCAAGTCCAGTGTAACCAGATGATTGCATTTCTGTTGGGCTAGCCAGGGGATGCAGTGGGGTGTTTGAGATTATTAGCACTATGGCAGCAGCGGTGTGACAGGCGCTGTGTCATCTGGGATAAGACTAAGACACTGGGAGAGGTCTGTCAGAAAGTCTTCTGGAAAAAACATTACACTGAAATTTTTGGGAACAGATTGGAACTGGTAGAGGGGAATTTGCCTGGAGGCTGAGTTCTGTGGTGCAGGACGACCTAAAACCAGATTTACAGTTTCATGGAACCACAGCTCTATTTCCTCCTCTTCCCCTTTGTTTCCACGCACCTGAAGGTGCAGGTGTTGTGCCTGGGGAGCCACTCTGCTTGCAAAAGAGGGGAATGGTTCAGCCCTCGCTCGCTGCCTGCCTTATTGTAGCAAGATGGAAATGGCAATATTACTTCCTAGAACAACATCCCTGTGGATCAAGTCTCAGACCTGGTTGTATGGTGCTAAATTCCTAGTGTTGGCATATAAGTGTGGTTTGGGGACCAATTTTTGAGCTAGTTTTGAGATCGATGAATGCAAGGCAGCACGTAAATACCAAAAAGACACAATATTTACCCTGTACGTAGTTTTTCAGACAATGTAATGGTGAAAGAAGGAGCTGGGGAGAGTTAACTCCATGTTAAAATTACAACTGACAGGCTAGAGAGGGTTATTGTTACTGGTTCTTCTTGAGCACTGCTTTGCTACACTATAGGGGAGGCAGATGACAGCATTTGTTGCACTGTACTCTGGAATTTGGTGCATTTTACTGCTCGACAGTTTTTCTAAACTCGCTCAATAGCCCTGACGTTTAATAACCTGCTGAATTATAGGCAGCTTATATTGCGCAGGTGAAGAATGTCCTGGGGAGATGGGATAACTGGATTTGGAGAATTAAATTATGTACTGCATTTCACAGAGTTTATAGCGCTTTGGGCCAAGGCAGGGACAGTGCAACCATCTAACCTGACCTCTGCAATACTGTATGGTTCACCTGCGTGCCCAAAGTGCGGTCTTCACTCCAGTTCTCATGCCTGTGATGAGGAAACAATTTTATACTGGATATTTCTTTGCGAACAGTGGTTTTGAAACGTGATTTTTTTTCCCTGTCTTAGGTAGTTATTAGTCTCTTTGTGCTGTGGTGGCCACTTGGGACCATCACGGCACTGAGGTGCCCAGAGAGGTAAGGAGAATAGCGATGCGGAGCAGACACATCCCTCCTCTGGACCAGGCCAGTCCCAAGAGGCCTGCCTGCATGCTGATGTGCCTGTGTTTGGTCCCTGCCAAGTAGCAACCAGTGTTTGGGGATGGGGGCACCACACTGGTGGTGTGTGGGGGCACCTCTGCCTATGGCTGTGTCCTCCTCCCGGAGATGCAGGTCATCTCTGAGCAGCCGCTGCCAGTCTGACCTGTGCATCGGTTTCAGCCTGAACAAGTGGTGGGAGAGGACTTTCTTTTTTCATGTGATCAGATGAGTAACCTGAAACTGGATCTGCGCACACGAGAGATACAGGGTGACCAGCGTCTTTCAGCAAGTGCATTCATGATTTCAAACCATGGCTGAATGATTTTGGGTTTGCACCAAAGGAGAAAATCATGCTTTCAGGCACCTGCTGGCTGCAGAGAAGTTTTTAAATGCAGCAGAACCAGCACAGTGTATATACACTGCCAGCTGTGACAAGCAGAGGAGGTTACTTGGCCAGTGGTGGCTCTGTAATTGACCTAGTTGTAGAAGTGGTGAGTGCAGGGGAAGCTGCAGAAATGAAAAAAATAGCAACAGCTTTTGGACGGTATTCAACATTGAATCCCTGTCTTTGAACCAGTGAACCTTTTCAGCTAAATTGTTAAAGTAAAAAAAAAATGCTAAAGATGTAAGCAGGGAATTTTTAATTTTTTTTTAACTGAGGAGAAGTGACATCCAGTTGAGAAATATTTGCTGTTGTATTTACAGGGGACAAGAAGTACATTATGGGACCAACGGTTTCCACTGTTGATGCCACTGTCTTTGGGCATCTGGCACAGGCAATGTGGACATTACCAGGGACTCGACCAGAGAGACTAATCAAAGGTAAGAAAGCTTAAGTGATCTCTGATGAAGAACTCGTGGTGGCATTTGCTGTGTTTGAACTTGGAGCACCTTGTAAGGACATTTGAAGACTGCAGCAGTGCTTCAGCTGCATCACAGGCTGTTCTTGCCTTTGATGTAGCATTTTGTATCCTGTAATGTTGTCTTCCGTTGAAAATTCTTGTTTTCTCTTTAGTGTTCCACATGGTAATTGTTTCTGTTCCTGTACTTTACCTTTTCCCTGTTTAACATAGTGAAGACTGAATGCCTCTGACGAATGAATGTTGGGTGAAGTATGGGAAGACAGAAGCCATGAGCCATGAGTAGTTTCATTGACGGTAGAACTGCAAGGGCTATTGTCCCACTGAAATTACAGCCTTTGCTGTTATGAAGATGCTGGACAAGGAAAAAGTCCATCCTGACTTTCGAGTCACTGTGTTTTTGAATAGATTGGAAACCAGCATACCCTTCCCATCCACACATTTTTTTCTTTTTTTCTTGTGGGCTCATATAGGCATATGAAAGTATCTTTGCATCCCTTTTCAGAATAAAACCATGCAGTGTGAAAAATGGGAAGAGCTAAGGATGAAAACGATATAAAATAGGTGTAAAATGAACGAATCTGACCTCTAGATCTACTTTGTACAAGAGGGAGCTCCTAAAGCAACAGTTAGGAGGCATAGACTTGCTCATTATTAAAACTTTGAGGAAAAAAATACTTGAGATGAGGACATAAATATTGTCTATACAGTTCTTCCACTTGATGTCTGGGGAATCACAGATGAAATTCTGAAGGGTCTGTGGCTTTCAAAAGGGAATACTATGTTAGCTGAACTAGTTTATCTTGAATGAAAATAGGTGGTAACAGATGCAAATACCCAAGCAGTAGGGATGATTCTCTGTACCCATCCACCTACTCATACTATTGTGAGTGCAGGTTTCACATACACATTCCCTTTAGTATGCTATTATTTATTTGTTCTTTGAAGTTTTTTTGTAATTTTTTCTCTAAGCACACTCTAAGCATACATGTTATGTATAAACACAATGCATAAGGTACTAAAGCTACGAACATTAGGGATGAGTCACTGACCACATAAAAATCTTTAAAGTGTGAATTTATCTTGCAGACAACGCTGCCATCTGGTGGTGGGAAACCCAAGTTCACTGTATTTTAGTGGCAAGTGTATTGTATGTACAGAATCACAGAATCACAGAATGTT